ATATCTAAAGTTCTGCATTTTGAATGCAACATCAAAATTATTTTAAGTTGTAATTACTTTCAGTGCAGGCTTCTTGAGAAACCAAAGATTAAAATACTGACTGAAGTTTTACTAAAGATGCTAAAATGCCATCTAGAGAAGAGACCTCTGTGAGGGTCTCCATATCATGGTCTAAGCCTGTCATCTTACCTTTAGGCTTGCCTTATTTACCACTGTACACACAACTTTTACCCATGGTGCCCGATTTTTTTCCTTTGACTGCAGCATGAATTTTCTTTTGTACAGCACATAACTCTGCTTCTGATTTGCCTGGTGAACTTATTGAGAGTCTAGTGAACTATAAACTACATCTAATTAAATCATGAGCTCTGTAACATACCTGAAAAAAAAACTAAATGATACCACCTTCATGAAAGAGGATTTATTGCTAAACTATTGTATTAGTGCTTTCCCCTTTTCTGTTCACCCTCTACACATCGGACTTCAAGTACAACTCCCACCACTGTCACCTACAAAGGTTCTCTGACGACACCACCATTGTTGGATGTGTATCTGGGGGGGACGAGCGGGAATACAGGGGGGTTGTTACTGACTTTGTGAAGTGGTGTGAGAAAAATCACTTGGTCCTGAACACCAGCAAGACTAATGAGATGGTGATTGATCCCTGGCGGAAATCACCAGCACTCACGCCGGTGAGCTTTCAGGGCTCAGATATTGAGAATGTGGACACCTTTAAATACCTGGGTGTCCACCTCGACAATAAGCTGGATTGGACTGAAAAGAAGGGCCAGAGCCACCTCCACTTGTTGAGGAGACTGAGGTCCTTTGGTGTGCGTGGGGCACTCCTTCAGACATTTTATGATACTGTAGTGGCATCTGCAGTTTTTTACGCTGTTGTGGCTTGGGCGGGAGGTAGCACAGACAGGGACAGAAAGAGACTAAACAAGCTGGTGTTAGAAATTAATAAATCAGTCAGATAATTATTAGACTTTAATGTGTTATTAATGCAGTTTAGTAAGATTCAAAGTCTGTTCCTGTGTGCTCTGCTTTGTTAGGCTGAAAACCATTATAAAGCCTCATCCGGTTCTTTCAAACCAGGAACTCCGAGGGACGACTCAGACCACTTGAGTATATAAAAAATATAACCGTGCTGGTTTATTCAAAAAGTCACAGGCAAG